TGCTGCCACCCATAAGAACAGGGAGGCCAAAAAGTCTTGGGACGGAAAGTCTACGCATCTGGGGGCATCCAATATTGCATTGCCAACCAGCAAGTCCTCTTGTCCCATTACACATATAACACTTGGGCATCCATGGACAAGTTTACAGACTTGCTCCTTAGGGACTCCTGCTCGGAGTACAAGGCTCTTCACAAAAAGGGGAGAGCAGTCTCCAGAGTGGCTCTCCAACAGGCTCTCGACATGCAGACACCGAGTGATGGCCACCGGGTGGTTCTGCACCGTAGTTCATGGGTTTTGGGGTGCCACTAGAGCTCCAAAACACCATTTAGGACCTTCTGTTCAAGGGCCCCTCACTCTTTTCGGAGCAGACTTGAACAGAGGCTTCATGATCTCAAGGATGTGCCACTAGAGCTCCAAAACACCATTTAGGACCTTCTGTTCAAGGGCCCCTCACTCTTTTCGGAGCAGACTTGAACAGAGGCTTCATGATCTCAAGGATACCAGGGCTACGTTAAAGTCCTTGGGCCTGCACACTCCTGCTACTCAGAGGCATATCTACTCAAATTGGAATGTTCCTAGAGTGCCTCCCTAGGGCCCACACCCCTCCTTCGCCCACCGTAGGAGCAGGAGTGGCAACGGCAGGAACGACAGGCACTGGCTGCGCCCAGCCCCCAACAATAACTAGGGGCCCCCTAACAAGCCCCCGGGACCCCGTTAGTGGTTTTGACGGGACCCTCGAGGGCATCTTACTCCCCTCTGCTTTTCTGGGACTGTTTATCCCATTTCCTTCAGGCCTGGCAGTCTGTTATGTCTGACTGATGGGTGCTGGAGATAGTGGAAAGGGGTTATGTAATCTCTTTCCATGCGCCCCCTCCTTCCCAACTCCCTACTCTGTCCCTTTTCAGGGACCCCTCTCATGAGCCTCTGCTACAGGAGGAAGTAAATCATCTCCTCACGGTAGGGGCGGTGGAACGCTTTCCCCCCAAGTTTCAGAACAGGGGATTCTATTCCCATTACTTTATGGTTCCAAAGGCAAAAGGGGGCCTTTGTCCCATTCTGGACCTCAGAGCTCTAAATTCCTTCATTGTCAAGACAAAATTCAAAATAGTGACTCTGGCATCCATTATTCCTTCCTTAGTCCCCAGAGACTGGTACGCTGCCCTCGACTTAAAAGACGCTTACTTTCACATTTCAATTACCTCTCTCTATCGAAGGTTCCTACGGTTTACCGTGGGCCCGGACCGTTACCAATTTATGGCCCTCCCCTTTGGTATTTCTACGGCCCCTTGGGTCTTCACCAAATGCCTGGCAGTGGTGGCAGCTGAGCTCAGGAAAAGGGGTGTCCAGGTGTTCCCCTACCTAGACGATTGGCTCCTGAGGTGGGAGTCAGAGACTCAGGTGACAGCCCACATCATCACAGCCCGCAAACTCTTCGAAGACTTAGGTCTTCTGTTGAATCTGGACAAATCGACCCTGACTCCTACACAGATAATAGAGTTTGTGGGCACCACCCTAGATTCCCTGGCACAGAGAGCCTCTCTGCCCAGCTCCTGGTTTCTCACAATACAGACGGCAGTCAGGGCACTCCAGAACTTTCCGGTGACCACTGCCCAGACTTGCATGCGTCTACTGGGCCTCATGGCCGCCTGCACTTATGTAGTGCAACACGCCAGACTGCGCATGCACCTGCTACAGATGTGGCTATTGTGAGTCCACAACCTGGTCGTCCACTCTTGGGACAGGGTGCTGACAGTCCCCGCCCCCGTCCTCCTTGCATTGGAATGGTGGACCCACTAGGTGGAGGTTTGTGCAGGGGTTTCATTCTCCAGACCAGTGCCGTCCATCCGACTGGTCACGGACGCATCGGACACAGGCTGGGGAGCTCACCTAGGAGACCTCCATATGCAAGGTATGTGGTCTGCGGACGAAACCTCCCTGAATATCAATGTCAGGGAGCTCTGGGCAGTCCGATTGGCTTGTGCGGTTTTCCTTCCCCACCTGAGGGCTAAGTCCATCCTCGTTCTGTCAGACAACACAACAGCGGTGGTGTACATAAACAAGCAGTGCAGGGCCCGTTCCCCTCGCCTGTGCTTGGAGGCGATCCACCTGTGGGACCTCTGCGTCAGGGCGGACATTCACCTCGATGGCCTCCTATCTCCCAGGCTGCCAGAACGTCCTGGTGGACAGGCTGAGCAGATCATTTGTGGGTCACGAGTGGTCCCTGTGCTGGGATGTAGCCCATTCCATGTTTTGCACGTTGGGGGTCTCCCCATCTGGATCTGCTCGCCACGGGGCAGAACAAGAAGTGCCTGCGTTTCTGCTCCCTCATGGATCTGGGGCAGGGTTCCTTAGGGGATGCTCTCCTCCTCCCCTGGCCATGCAGCCTGTTGTACGCCTTCCTGCCTTTTCCGCTAGTTCACAAGGTCCTCCTGAAAGTGCGGGAATTCAGGGCGTCCCTGATTCTAATTGCCAGGGCTTGACAAACCGCGGCGAAATCTACTCGCCAGCCCTGCACTGCGCATGTGCCAAACCCGCATTGCGCGTGCGCGCGCTGCCAGTGAATGGGGCAACCGGCTGAAATATACTCGCCACGGGCGAGTAGATTCAGTGATTTGTCGAGCCCTGCTAATCGCCCCAGTATGGCCAAGGCAACATTGGTTCTTGACCCTCCTCAGCCTCTCCTGTGAGAGGCCCGTATCCCTCCCACTGGTCGCGGACCTGATATCCCAGGACTCTGCCACCTGGACCTGCAATCGCTGCACCTGACAGTGCACACACCCTATATTGGTATAGACATGAGCAACACATCTCGAAGAATCAGTTACGAGGTAAGTAACCGTTCTTTACTCTTGGAAGCGAGAAAAGGATGTAGTCTGAAATGATTTTGCCTGACATCTTATTGTTTGTCCAAAGTAAATTTGCCTAACTCGGACTGTCAGTTGGCACCCTCTGGCAATGAAAGCAGGCTGCATTGAATAGTTGCAAGATACTAATCATTGTTAATATTGTTCACTATTCTCTCGAGCGCTTTGGAATCTGTCAAACAGAGAATATCTTCTAAGGCCCTAAACCTGCTTCATTTGAAGCCAGTGGAAGTTTGATCGTTTCAACAGGAGCTGGATTGGGCTGTAAAGGAACTAAATGAATCAAATGATGGCTTTATTCCATAGGAAATATATTGTAAATATTCATTTGATTCTGTAGAATATAAGAGAATTTTTATTTTAATTTGTTGTTGTTTGCAGTGTTAAGGATTTTTTGAAAGGAAAGCTGTATATTGTATCTTTTATTAAAATCCTGTCTGCACTATAAAAATGTTTTTGGAAAGTTACCATTTTTACAAGGATATATGCAAATGTTAGCATGGTTTTGGAAAATATGGTTTTAGACAATTACATAAATTATGTTTGTGGCAACTGTTCTTTTCTTGCCCTGGAAAGAACTGATCAAATATGCTCTGTCTACAATGCCATTTTTTGTACTAGTGTAACTAAATTTTGAACTGGAGTAAGCCAGACAATTGTAAATCATAGTACAGGCAGTCCCCGACTTACGCGGATCCGACTTATGTCGGATCCGCACTTATGAACGGGGCTTGCTCGCCCCGGAGGTCGAGGTGGCGGATTGCTGCCTGCGAGCTCCGGGGCGAGAAAGCCCCGTTTGTAAGCTGCTCCCGGTGCCCCTGGTCTGCTGGAGACGGTCCTCAGCAGACCAGGGGCACCGGGAAACATTACAGGAAAATAAATCAATTTCTAACTTATACCATGGTTAACAAATTCTGTTATATTACCTTTAGAAGATAATATAAGCAACTTTTTTTTTAAATCAGCAAAATGTCTTTTTAATCATGAGCCAAATTAATTAAATTGTATCTGGGTAATTTCCATAAAATGCATGAATTACTTGATATATATTTGTCAGGTTTAGGAAGTAATTAAGGGATGATTCATAACTTTTAACTTGCTGTATGAAATAGTCATTTCTAAAATGTGAACAGAGGTATAAGCAAATCCAATAAGGACTATGTCACCTAAAAAATAAATACTGCTAATTCAAATGAAAAATACATAGCTATCCATAATTAAAACTCTGCATTAAAAATCTAGAGTTTAAGTTAGAAAAAACCCATATGTTTATTAAAAAGGATCCAAGTGAATTTCAGTTGTTGACTACAGTCATAGTTTTCATTAGAGTTGTGGGGAGGTATTTTTATTTTGGGGAATTTTTTGCACTAAGATAGCTGTACTAGTGCAAATCTCACATGTGTATAGTGTATACAGGCAGTCCCTGGGTTACGTACAAGATAGGGACCGTAGGTTTGTTCTTAAGTTGAATCTGTATGTAAGTCGGAACTGACCGCCAGTTCTGACTTACATACAGATTCAACTTAAGAACAAACCTACGGTCCCTATCTTGTACGTAACCCAGGGACTGCCTGTATACACTATACACATGTGAGATTTGCACTAGTACAGCTATCTTAGTGCAAAAAATTCCCAAAAATAAAAACACCTCCCCACAACTCTAATGAAAACTAAGACTGTAGTCAACAACTGAAATTCACTTGGATCCTTTTTAATAAACATATGGGTTTTTTCTAACTTAAACTCTAGATTTTTAATGCAGAGTTTTAATTATGGATAGCTATGTATTTTTCATTTGAATTAGCAGTATTTATTTTTTAGGTGACATAGTCCTTATTGGATTTGCTTATACCTCTGTTCACATTTTAGAAATGACTATTTCATACAGCAAGTTAAAAGTTATGAATCATCCCTTAATTACTTCCTAAACCTGACAAATATATATCAAGTAATTCATGCATTTTATGGAAATTACCCAGATACAATTTAATTAATTTGGCTCATGATTAAAAAGACATTTTGCTGATTTAAAAAAAAAGTTGCTTATATTATCTTCTAAAGGTAATATAACAGAATTTGTTAACCATGGTATAAGTTAGAAATTGATTTATTTTCCTGTAATGTTCTGTTCTTTAGAAGAAAATCAGTATGATCTGCTTAAGAACAATGGCCTTCCACTCATGATTCAGTTATTAACAGAGTCTCATGATGAAGAAGTTAACAAAGCTGCTACTTTTGTGCTGCAAAATTGCAAGCAAATCAGTAAGCTTATTTTTAAAAATGAAATACATTGTTCTCTGTATTTAAGGTTTGTAAATCTTCAGAATAATTGTAATCATAGCAAGTTGGTGTTGCAGTGCACTCTAGTAATGATTGTTTTCATTGGAACAGTTCTATATTTACCACTGTAGAATGGGTCTAGCATTTAGGAGGTGAAATAAAAGTTGCAGATGTTCAGGTGAATGCAGAAAAGTACAGGCATAATCTGCACACAAAAGGCTGCTTCCCTTTAAATTATCTCTGCAAGGGTAGCCTGGGCCTTACTCACACTGTCTTTAGAGATAGCACTGGTTTTTATCAGTAAGTGGAGTCTTCTGTGGGTGGATTAATTTGTAGTCATAATTCCCCTCCCCCCCGCCTGTTCAGGTGCTGATTCTTTCTACTGCTTATATTAGGTAAAAATAGTAAAATTGACATATTGACATTTATGGCAAGATACTATGTTCTTTTCCGTGTGCTTTGAAGTGAAGTTTATTCGTTGTTGTTTTTTAAACAAGCTGTGGTGAAGCATTTTTTTAGTGCTCTGACCTGAATGCAAAAGGTTTTTTAGAAATCTCTATTTTCAAAGAAGAGATTTTTCAGAAGCAAAGGTTTACTATAGCTGCAACCCACTTCAGCAAAGCACAGAAGCCCATGCCTACTTTTAAGAACACCAGCAGTTCCAATTAGGGGTGTTAAATTTAGTTTAATCAACTAGTCAATAGATTTTCTATCGACTAGTCAATTAGTCAATAAGCGGGGAGAGCCACAGCAGGGAGCTAACCCTGCTATGGCTCTGCTTTTTAAATGTATTAATAGCCTATTCGATCTTAATACATTTAAAAATCAGAAGCGCAGTGGTGGGGACCCACTGCAAGCCAGGACAGCTGATTACCAGCTTGTGCAGGGTCCCCCCGAAGAGCCTGTCCAGCTCGAGGGACTAGTTGACTATCCAATAAGCTTTTGCTTACTGGATAGCCAACTAGTTGCTTACATTCCTAGTTCCAGTGGCTTCAGTCAAACTATTAACATGCTTCAGTATCTTGCTATATTTGAACTAAAAGCTGTAATTGCCGTTTGCATTTTTTGAAATACACTGAAGCTATATGGAACTTTCATTTTACTTTATTTTATTCAAATTTACTATAAACAGGTTATAATATTTAGGTTATAGTGGATTTAGGATTTTTATTAATTTTTTAAGCCATTAAAATATAAATGTGAAATATTTTTCAATATACTATTTATTATAAAAAGACCACATTTTTATTTTATTTTTTGCTTTACAAAGCTGAGAAATTGACTCTGAAAACAAATGAATATTCATTAAATCTGAATGATGCAGAACAGTTGAAAATGGATCTACAGATCAAAGAGAAGAATCTAGAGGACTATTGGAAGAAAGCAAAAGAAATTTTACATAGAATAGAACTTCTTGAAAAAGAGCATGATGAGGTTGGGAAATGTATTCAAATTATGGTAAACCTAAGCAAGTCTCTCTCTCAAAAAAAAAAAAACCTTTCTGCTCAAGAGTTTAGGGAGAAGTAGATAGAAAGATATTAGGTAATCTCAGTGTGAACTATAAAAAGGAAAATAATTGAAATAGTGAGAAATTATGCCCTACAGCTCTTCACGTGGCATTACTGTATAATATAACAAGATAGAGATGAAGGGAGGCTTTTAGAGAATGGACTGAATACAAATTTGAGAAACTGCTTTAGAGTATCTCAAGAATCTGTACAAAATCTACTATATATTTGAGAGAGTCTGTCCGTCCATATGTTTGTCTGTTTGTTCAAGAACTCCTCCTAAAGGATAAGAGATAGGACCACTAGATCTGGCATACAGCTTCCTCTTACCATAACTTGAAGAAGGTAAGGGTTTGGTTGTGCTAGGAAAATAGAACGTTCCTGGAATTGGATTGCTTTTCATAAAACAATACAGAAAAGAGAGACAGTCTGCAGGCAGATGAAAGGAACTGGGTGGGGCTGTGCCCCCTACCCCCCAGTCCTGGACTGCGCCAGTGCTGAGCCTCCCACCCCCTAAATTCTCTTTAGGGAGGACGGGGGAGATTAGGGGTGGTGGTGAGTTTAACCTTCCCCCACCCCCCCCCTAAATTCTCTTTAGGGAGGACGGGGGGGATTAGGGGTGGTGGTGAGTTTAGCCTTCCCCCACCCCAATTCATATGGGGACATTGCTAGCTGTTCCCCTTCATCAGAGAGTATGAGGAACTTGTACAGTTTACTGTATTCCTCACTTTGGTTGGGGAGCAGATGACCTGCCCTGGCTGGTGGATATACATCCCTCCCTGGAGGTACCTGCTAGAGCTGCAGCAGCGATGAAGAAGTGCTTTTCACCTGGCTCCAAGCTGCTATGGTGAGAGTTGGCTTGGGTAGTCCTCTCTCCCCAGAGCAGCCTGCATACTGAACCCTTCATCTCCAGTACCACCCCAGAGCAATGATTTAAATGAGGAATGTACATTTTCATTTTTTTCCAAAAAACAAAAATGAATTCAATTAAGGACTCAGGCAATGCCAGGTAAATCTTCTAGTATAGTAGTTCCCAACCTATTTTATACCGCGGACTGGCAGATTTGTTCACAAACTCTTGGCTGACCAGCAACATTTTATTGCATGTTCATGCAAATAATGAATATGCAAAAAAAATGTTACCGGTCCTCCAAAAGCCCCAGGCCATGTTACCTGTCTGCCAAAAGCCCCAGCCTCCAGAGTCCCCCAGTGCCAGCCCTAACCCCTTTAGCCCTCCCACCCCTCTACTACCTCCAGCACCAACCACTGACCTGAGCCCCCTGCTCCCAAATCCTGCAGTGCCAGCCTCCCTCCCTCAGAGCCCCACCACCACCAGACCCCTCAGTGCCAGCCTCCTGTTTCCAGAGCCCCACTGAACCCAACACCCCAGAGCCTCCCCCCATTCCCAGCCCACAGTCCCCAATATTACCCCCATCCCCAAATGCCAACCCTGTACCCACAGCCCTCCCCACTACTAGCCTAACTCCCAGAGCCTCACAGTGCCAGCCTCCTGCCTCTTAGAGCCCCCCCATTCCCAGAGGCCCTAGTACTAGCCCTTCCCCCAGACTCCCCAGTGCCTGCCCCATCCCTCTTACCTAGTCCTGGCTGCTTTAAGGCTGCCATAGTGGGCTCCACACGACCTTATCACCTTGCAGCAAACAGCTCCTCCATTTCCAGGAGGAGACCCCATCCCTGCCCAGTGTTGGGTGACTGAAAGATGGGGCAGGATGTGCCTCTCCCAACAGCCACAGCGGGGAGGGGAGGTGTTGGTCAGTGTTCCTCAGCCCCCAGAGCCTCAGTGGACCAGCAGCCAGCAGTTCGTGGACTGGCACCCATCTGTGGACTGGCAGTTGGGAACTGCTGTTCTAGTATATTATATTGTAGATAATCTAGTTCTGTAGAATTTAGTATGCAATTAATGCAGGTTGAGGGAGAAAACCATTACCCACCTTTTTTAAATGTCCACATGTATTTTGAACTTACTATTTCCATATTTGTTTGTGAAATGCCCATGCAGTCATAACTTCATGCGCATAAATGTTTACTCAACTGTCCAAATATCTAGCTCTAAAATCTGTATTCTTAAGCCTTCTTACTCTAGGACTCTGTTTATATCTTGTTTGAAGTAATAGACCCAGGTAACTTTCATGGTTTATTTGAAAATTAATATTCTACTTCTATGTTGAATTAATTAAAATGTTTCTTATATATTAAAAATCTAGGGGACTGTGTCCCCTGCTCACTATACTCACTAGCCCTCCCTCGCGGGGGAATAAGCAACCCCACTTCTTCTCCCAGCCACCAGAGAGGGCCGAGCTCCTGCACCACCCAAGATTCCTTCTCCCTCTCCCGGCCGCATCAGTTCAGGCCCATTCCCCTCACCCCTCTCTCCCCCCACCGCACTAGCCCAGGCCCTTTTTCTCCCCTGGCTGCATCAGCCTGGGCCTTTTCTCTCACACCAACCCCAGCTGTGACCTGACCCTAATTCCTCCTCTCTCCACCACGGTGGGCTCAACTCTCTCCCCCAGCCACCGGGGGAAGGGCACTCCAAGGCCTCACAGGACCCGCACTTTCTACCTAACCACCAGGGGAGGCTGCTCCTATGCTTTGTAGGCCCTGCATGGCAGCCAAGCACTGGAGAAAGGGGAGGGGTGACGGAGGGAGGAGGCAGGCAGGACAGGAGATTTTTTTGTATATATAGAGAGATATATGCAGCAAGTTTCAAGCTGTGGAAATGGTACATAACATCAAGAGCATTATCCAGCTAAAAAAGCTATATACTGTCTGCAACATGAGGGAACAAATCAGATAAGAATAAACCCTGTAAATAACCCTTTGAGGGGTATAGAGGTAAAAAACCCAAATTATGCCAAGTGACAAAGCTAGAAAACAGTTTTATAAAATGACCTAGAATCATTCAAGAAAAGCTATAGGGTTATTGATCTGAATGCAACAGGAAAAGATGCTGAATATTCTGAGAGAGCTCATTAATGTAGAAAACTTATTGTCATATAGTACTGTATCTATCTTGTTCAGCATGCAATTTAGTCTTTCCTTGATGATTTTCTGTGTCTGCCATTATTATTTGGTTGCTTAGGTTAGGGGTGAGGAACCTGCGGCCCATTGGGCGCATCCCACCCATGGCGAGGCTTGGGGGTTCCATATGCAGCAGGGCGAGCCGACACTCATTCTCCAGTCACGTGGCAAGTCTTTGAGCCTCAGCACCCCACTGAGCCAGGTCTGTGAGGGTTGTTGCTTTTGAGGGAGGGGGGGTTGCTTCTCACTTGTATGTGGCCCCCAACTGATTTTTTTTGTCGGTCTCACTTGTATGTGGCCCCCAACTGATTTTTGGTGGGTCACTGGACCCCGACAGAGAAAAAAGTGAAAACCCCTGTTTTAGGTAGTTAGTACCCAACTGCTAAATGACTTAATTACATGAGTCTCAGGCCTCTAGAACTGCTGTCTAATCAGACCCAATTTATTACTTTAGATCCAAATTCTCACTAGGTTTACTGTTCCTTTAAATTCTCATAGTTTTGTTGGTTTCCTTGTTAATGTTAATGTCTAACGAGCCAGGCACCCCGCACTTTTATAGTTAACAGCATCTAACCTCAAATTTGCATTGGTCTGTCTTCTAACCCTACAGTAGGATTTATTAATGCTTTACATAATCATTAATTGGTATTTTTGCAATATAGGAAACAGTAAGGAGACAAATGTTTATTGATATACCTCAGGAAGCAGTTACGCAAAGGACATCAAATTACCATAAAATTAATGCCAGTGACCAAAAAACAAATGCCAAAAGAACACATACTAAAATGCAGTATTCACAACTAAATTGTAAGTCTGATGATTTGGTTGATACTATATTTGCAAATAATCAGTCATCTGAAAATGGAATATTAAGGACTTTGAATTCAGTAGATGCTTCTGCCAGAGAGAATGAGCAAAATGTTGCTCTACAGTCAGCTGACAATCTACAAACAGATGATGTTCAAAAAGATCAGACTACACATGAACAAACCACTTGTGAGAAAACACGGTGTGTTCCTCTAGCAAGGTACTGTATTTCAGATGTCTCAATGCTAAGTAAAAATGTTAAGTTTCTGTTCACTTAATGAAAATTTCCAAATCAAATGTCATGTTATTTATTTTTTTTACTAGCCAGCTCTTTATTTAGAGAAAAATCAGACATCTTTTTGGTCACTATAACTTTTCTTGGGTATAGTCTGTGACTTATTAGATCAAAGAAAATAGAATCTCAGTGCAATAAAGAAAAAGGAAAACATTATGGCTACGTCTAGACTGGCATGATTTTCCGCAAATGCTTTTAACGTTTTCCGATAAAAGCATTTGCGGAAAGAGCATCTAGATTGGCACGGACGCTTTTCGGTAAAAGCACTTTTTGCGGAAAAGCATCAATGCCAATCTAGACGTGCTTTTCCGCAAAAAAAGCCCTGATTGCCATTTTCGCGATCCAGTCTTTTTTGCGCAAAACAAATCTGAGCTGTCTACACTGGCCCTTTTGTGCAAAAGCTTTGCGCGAAAGGACTTTTGCCCGAATGGGAGCAGTGTAGTATTTCCGCAAGAAGCGCTGATTTCAGACAGTAGGAAGTCAGTGTTCTTGCGGAAAGTCAAGGGGCCAGTGTAGACAGCTGGCAAGTTTTTCCACAAAAGTAGCTGCTTTTGCGGAAAAACTTGCCAGTCTAGACGCAGCCTATGCCTTTGCACTTTAGATGAAGAAATGGCAGCTATCTCAAATGCCTTTATAGGTACTATTTTAAAAATCTGATGCAGAATTAAATACTTAAAACTATAAAATCCATAATATTCCTCCCAGGTTTTCTCTGACATTTGTTTTATATTGCAGTATTCTGACACAATATTCTTCTTACTCTGTCTCAGATTATATTTCCTTCACTGTGTCATAACATACTATCCTATCATATACCTGTTGTACTATATTACAGACGCTTTCATTGCTTACTATTTCATCTTCCTTTCCTTTAACTATTTTACAGTTATCCTTCACACCCATAAATAGTAGTCCAATAAAGGTGAACTGCAAGGATAAAATACCAAATTCCAGTAACTTTAGTAATATGTGTTGAATCTTCTCCCAAAGTCGTCCAAAAATCATTCAGTATATTACTTATAAAAATACTAGAAGATTTACCCAGTGTTGCTTGGGTCCTTAATTCAAATAATATTTTATTTCTCTTCATTTAAATCATTGCCCCAGTGAAAAAGGACAACCTACCCCTCTTTCACTGAACCCCCCAGCCCTCTCTCACTGCAGCAGCTTGGGCCCAGATGAGAAGCACCTCTCCATGCCTGCTTCAGCTCCAGCAAGCCCATCCTGGGGAAGGGTGCATGTCCCCTGGCTGTGGGACAGACACACAAACAGATAAACTCTTTCAAATACATAATATATGGCTGTCCTTTTCTTCATCCCTGCCCTCTGCTGCCCCAATGGAGTAATAGCTGTCCTGCTTCCCATCTCTGGCCCCTTACTGCCTTCCTGTGTTCATTATTCAGTATCACTGTCCCTTCTAGCAGAGCCTTCTCTTTCCATTTTATGAGAAACAGTTGCATTCCAGGCACATCCCATTGTCCTGGCACAACCAAACCCTTACTTGCTTTTAAGTTATGATAAGAGGAAGCTGCATACCAAATTTGGTGATCCTAGCTCTTATCTTTTAGGAAGAATTCTTGAGCTGACAGACAGACACATTCTCTCAAATATATAGTAGATTTATTTTCCTTCTTTCAGGCCCTACATGGTGCATTTTTTATGGTGCTCTCTGTCTCTTGCTCCTATGTGTTGCCCCAGCATGCACTATACTGTAACTTTACAGCTACCACAGAAATTCTCTGGCGTGTATCCTATGGTCAAGTAAGTTCTGTTTTGTCTCTAAAACCGTTTAGCATAGTTTTGCAAAGTTTCTTATTATTACCACTCTTCAGATTAAAACACAGAGACTTTGGAAAAACCTGTGTTTTCTCTGGGAGTCCATATGCATATGAAATCTGGAATGACATGACTCCATCAGTGTTCTGTGGTAGTTGTGATGGCACATAATAATAGGATCTTGCTGATTGTATCAAAGTTGAACACAGCAGAATCAGAGAAAGGAAAATGAATGTACTTTTAAAAGCAGTTGTCACATCTTATGAAGATCATGGCCTCCTATGGAATATGTGACTGTAAAAATATTGTAAAATTACATATATGATCCAAAATGGATTTTGAAAGTTAATGTTACTGGAAAACTTTATTGCTTTCTAAACACACTGATATCCAGAAGAGTATTTTCATCTAGGAAAGGTACTCACATATCTTCTCTAATCAGCCTTTTAATATACTGTAATGATATGCTGAATACGTGTCAAGGACTGGCCATTTGGGGAAAATTAGCACATATTGTTGATGTTTCTAGAATTTGGTATTTTAGTGGGAGATTATTTTAAAATTGTAGTTAAACATAAATGCAAGGAGAAGGGGGAACAAACTGGAGAAAATGGAAGAGTGAAAACAAGAGTAAATTACAGTAATATCCAATATTCAAAAGACTTGGAACTAATAGAGGACTTCAACTAGAGAACAGACATCTATTCGAAAAGTCATACGACCAAACAAAAAATATCCAATAGTTGTTGAAATATATTTTGGGACAACTTTTTTGTTTCAGAAGACGGAGGAGGTAAACAGAAAGACAGCCATTGCAAACTTGGGGTATGTCTACACTACCAAGTTTTGTCAAGGAAACTGTCGTCAACATGCAGAAGTTGTTAAAAAAAAAAAAGTAGCCAGTGAGTGTTTGCACTTTCTCCCTTTATCGACAAATTGTGTCCGCATCTTTAGCTTCCCATTGACAGTGGGAGCAGTGCATTATGGGTATGTATCCCACAATGCCTGGTGATGCCATCTGTGGCTAGGTGTTCTGGAAGCATAGGGCATCTCTGGACTGTGCAGAACTTTCCATCAGGCACCACTTTGTTCGGGGGCTTCTGGCATTCTTTTGCACCTTTTTTCCAACTGCCATTTTCTGCTGTGCAATACAGCATCTTCAGCTAGAAAGAATGGATTCGGCACTTTTTTTTCATGCTCTGTTAACTGCTGTGAGGATCTTGTACATGGTAGCTGAGATCTTCTTGAAATTACTGACCAAAAAGGAAAATTTGGAGGAGCCTCACGAGTGTGTATGATATGGAAAATGATAACCTGTCATTGCATTTGACAGTCACAGAGCAGCTGTACAGGGTAGATGAGCAGTTTTGGACTAGGGAAACCAGCGCTGATTGGTGAGACCATATCATAATGCTGGTATGGGATGAAGACCAGTGTCTACAGAACCTTAAGAATGTGTAAAGCAACCTTCCTGTAGCTATGTGCTGACCTGGCCCCTGACTTGCGGCGCAAGAACACCAGAAGGCTTCCTGTAGCTATGTGCTGACCTGGCCCATGACTTGCGGCGCAAGGACACCAAAAGAAGAGCTGCTCTCTTGGTTCAGAAGTGTGTGGCAATTGCTGTGTGGAAGCTGGCGACTCCCAGTTGCTACCAATCAGTTGCAAATCAGTTTGGAGTGGGGAAGTCTACCTTTGTTGCAGTACTGCTGCAAGAATGCAGGGAAATACATTGCATTCTGCTACTGAGGACAGTGACTCTGGGAAATGTGGATGACATAAGTGGCTGGCTTTGTGGACATGGGATTTTCCAACTGTGGGGAGGAGATAGATGACACACGTATTGATTATAGTACATGCCCATCTTGACACTGAGTACATCAACAGGGAGGGATATTTCTCGTGGTGCTGCAGGCGCTTGTGCATCACTGTGGGCATTTCACAGACATCAGTGTGGGGTGGTTTAGAAACGTACATAGTGTGCACATCCTCGGGAACCTGTACAGAAAGCTGCAGGTGGGAACTTTCTTTCCAGACCACTAGATTGCAATGGGGATGTGAAAATGCCCATTGTGATCCTGGGAAACCCAGCTTATCCCGTGGGCTATGTCTAGACTGCAGAGCTTTTTCAGGACACCAGAGGTATCCCGGAAAAGCTCTGCCGCATCCAAGGAACGCGTCTGCTTTTTTGGAACAGTTTCCAAAAAAAGTGGACATGTTTTTTCTGCATCCCTGTATTCCTCTCAGTGAGAGGAATACAGGGATGTTCGGAAAGAGGAGTTTTTTCTGAAATTTGGCCTGGTGAGAAGGGCCAAATTTCAGAAAAGCCTCTTTTGGGGGAAAAAAGTGGAAAAAGATAGGCAAAGTGCGGTTCACAGTTTGCATATCTTTTTCTGACTTTTCTCAGCAGTCTAGACATAGCCTTACAGCCCGAGTTCATGAAACTGTGCACAGGGCACCTGTACAGCAGTAAGGAGAGTTTTAACAACAGTCTGAGCAGGTGCCACATGGGGGTTGAATGCACCTTTGGCAGGCTAGACCTCACTGAAAGTTAGTTATTCCCATGGTTATTGTGGCTTGTTGCACTTTGCATAATTTGTATGAAAGTAAGGGGAAATTGTTTGCTCAGAGTGGAGCACTGAGGTAAAGTGTTTGGCTGCAGAGTTTGAAAAGCCAGACTCTAGAGTTTATTAGATGAGCTCAAAGAATTGCTGTTGTTATCAGGGATGCTTTGAGGGTGCACTTTAAAAATGAAGGGTTTTAGTAAAGAACAGGCTGCCCAGAGGCAGATGTGGTAAAAGGGCACCTTTTATTGCTGATACTCATTCCATCTCTGATCCTGCCTACCTCAAGTACCTAACTCAAGTATACCTTTTTATCTTAGAGTAGGTCTACACAGCAAAGTTATTTCGAAATAACAGCCATTATTTCAAAATAACTTTCCTAGCATCTACACAGCCAATCCACTATTTAGAAATATAGCGGAGCGCTTATTTCGAATTTGGTAAACCTCATTCTGTGAGGAATAATGCCAAACTCGAAATAGCTAATTCGAAATAAGTGCTGTGTTGATGTTTATTTCGAAATAGGGGGCCTCCAGCCCTTCCCAGGGTACCGTGGTGGCCACTCTGGGCACAACCAGGAAAACTTCC